CCCCCCCCCCCCCCCCCCCCCCCCAGCTCCGTCCCGTGAGTGTGAAAGGAAGGAGAGGCGCGGGGAGCAGGTGGCCATCCTCGACAGACGTTCTGCTTAAAGCCCTCGGCTGCAAAGGTTGCCACAGTTCCTCCCTCAAGCAAGCCTTTCGTGCCCGAGCCTTGCAACAGGTGCGAGGTAGCGAGGGAGAAAGAGGCATTTGGAGACCCCAGCTTTGTTGCTGAAGAGCAGCTCAGCGTAATCCATAGGAAATGATGCTGGTAGGTTAACAACGTTTGAACAAATGCGCCCAGATCAAAATAAGCAAACTCTGGGGTGTTAGCGGACTCCGATGCTTAGATTTGGAGGGAGAGTATTGTGCTAGATACAGCTTCAAGTGTAGTTCCACCTGGTGGTTAAGGTAGGCCTTTAGTAATCAGACTCTTAAGACAGATGATTGGGCCTCTGATCTCTTCCTTACATACACAATGTGCTACAAAATACACATCTGGCATTTTGCATCAAATTTTCACAACAAGTCACCCATTGGGGGAGATGGGCGGCATACAAATTTGAAAATAAATAAATAAATAAATAAAATAGGGTTTTGTTTAATATATGTTGATGTTCAAACTAAGTTCTCTCAGGGCAGTTTGCAATGTATTTAAATCCCTGGATTAAACTCTCAACTATTAAAACCTGTGACACTTAAATGGTAAAAGAATGAAAGCAACAGCCAGAGTTGTTAAACAATTTCTAAGCAATGTATATGTTTAAGATTATAAGATAATGCCTGGGGAAACAAAAGTCTTTGTCCCAGAAGAGAGCAAAACGATGCTCAGGCATATCTCATTAGCAAGGGCATTCCAGGGTTGGGGGCTGTTACTTTACTGAAAAAGCTAGCTAGTCCCTCACCTTAGAATAGTAGGCAACCCAAACAGGTCTTCCAAAAATTATTTTTAGAGTACAGAGAAAAACATGAGAAATTCCTTTGGATACTGTGATCCTACCCTATGGTTTTCAGCAAAAAATCTCTCTAATCAAGCCTTAATATTATTTAATGGTTGTTCTGCCTTAAGTGTCAGACTCAGCATTCCACTACAGCTCTTTTAATATGTGTAGCACTGATGTTAATGGATGTAACCATCTCCTTCACAGCCATTAAAATCTCTGGCATCTAGCTAAGCCAGGGTGCGACCTGATCCGGAGAGATCCTAGGATTCCGTACAAGGATTAGACATTCAGGGAATCCTCTATTAGAATATGTGATCACCAAGCTTTAGCAGGCTGTTAGAACATCTGAAAATCACAACTCTTTTTACCTTTACAATTTTTGCCATGCCTTACGGTCTATCTGCTATTTCATCATTCTATATAACCAGCCTCTGGTTCAAACTGAAAGGATCTTCATTTGCATTCCTAAGGTAGACAAGTCGGACACTTTAGTTTGTCCTTGTTATGAAAAATAAACTTACTTGGACTGTAGAAAAAATAACTGGAATAGTACGAGTTAAACCGCTGTTAAAGGCCATTAAATGGGATTAGTTTCATCTCATGAGTACAGATCAATGGTTAATCCACTCTGCCGTACAGTAACAGAGATTCATGAAATGCGAATCTCCTAAGAAGTCTGTATGACCCAGTGTGATGTAGTGGTTAGAAGACTGAACTAAGGTTTAGGAATTCTAGATTAAAATACACTCTTGGTCACTGAAGTTTACTGTCACTCTCTCTTCCCAACCACTTTACAGTGTTGCTATTGTGGGAAAAAAATGGAGGAGAAAATGCTATGCCTAATGTTTTCAGCTTCTGGAGGAAAGGCAAGATATATGCTGCTTTACAATTGTGTAAGTCTCTATTTGTTTTGATGTTTTTACTCTGTTTTTATGATGCAAACTGCTAGGAGTTCTTTTTGTTGAATCTAGGGGTATATAAATACAATAAAGAAATAAAATCAAACAAATGCTTTTATAGAGCTAAGCCTTGGCTTTATGTTAATTTCTATGTAATCTTAATTGTTTTTATGCAATTCATTGCAGATACCAGATAGGGAGATTAGTTCCCTGGTTGCTGCCTGCTTCTACCAGGCATGCCTGACCCTCACATCAAAGGCTTGCTTTCCCTGATTCTAAGCGATGGGCTGAAAATGAAAAACACCCATTTTTGCATTGTGGGAGTTCCTGACATTTTAAAACCCTCTCTGGAGAGCTCGGGCCTTGGTTTATGCTGTCTGTGGCATTTTTGAATAAACAAAACATCCGTCCTATCGGGTTTAAATCTATAACGGTATCAGCATGATGGCCAGCACAAACTTTCCATTTTCCCCCACAAATATTGCACATTCATTTTAAAAGCAGTGGCATTTATGTAGCTGCTAGTGTCGAACACAGTTATTTATTTCTTCATATCTCTGGCAGGATTGTTCTGTTTGATGTAACTGGCCTCAAAGTACGAGTGCCCTGCCAAACATGATCCATGATACCACTTTGGATTGAAGATCAGGGAGAAGGGAACACTTGAATTGAATCCAGCACCCCTTTTACGCCAGACAGAGATGATAATAAAAGCAGTGCAAATGTACTTCTAGGTACTTAAAGCAGGCTCCTTCCACATGGCCCTTTTCCATTCACAGATTGGGCAAGAGTCCTCAGTATTCTATCACATTTTAATTAAAGCTTTCTTCAAGTTGAGCTCAGTTCCTTGTGACCAGGTGGGCATATCCAGATTGTTTTCTTGGGCACCAGGTGCTTTCCCACTGCAGCCTTCCTTTTTCTGTTTAGCTATAAGCCTGGCCTTTCCTGGTGGTTTCGCATTCAGGTAATATGCAGATGGTTTAAAAGACTCTACTGGCTAACATGAATCTTTTGAACGCTACTGAATTGACCTGGGTGTAAGTCTAATGGGGTATGTAAAGACTAACGTCTCTGCAACCACAGAATTTATGGGGAAATTCTGACTGGGAACGCAAGCTAGAATTGGCAGGAAAAAATATGTCACAATTTTTTCACATACACATGGCCCAAATTTAATAAGAGAGAATTTGGAGATACCAAAAGGGGGTTCAGAAATGACAAGAAGCTCTTAGGCTTCAAATTGCCCTGCTGTGTTTTTACTAATTGCACACTATGCTCCAATAAACACACATAGAGGCTGCTAAGAACATAAACAGTTACTGCCAACAGATAGTGGTCCATCTTATTCAGCATTCAGATGATATGGGTTGAAAATAATGAGGGAATATCTCTTCTGGCCCTTTTTCAGATAGTAATATTGTATTGCCACCTCCTCCAACAATAAAGTCAGCCTCTAAATGCCATCAAAAGAAATTTGGAAGAAATTCTCAAACATCCTGGGCATAAAGTAGAAAAGCAGAAGCCTCTTTTGTAGGAGACGGAAACGGTTTTACAATTTTTGTAACAAGAAAAATTGCAAGGCCAATTTAAGCACAATACTACAGTATAAAGAACCAGGAACCTTTTGCATGTAAAACACACTTAGCTGCTGAGCTGCAACCATCCTCATATTCACATCTGAACAACAAAATTGTGGTATCTCCTGTCAATTCACACTGAAAATGCCGTGGGATAAAACCAGGGGGGCAGAACATCATCCTGCTTCTTACATGTTGCTGAATATGCTTCTCAATCCCATTTCACAGAGTTTGAGCCCAAACGCATCTCATTTTATTACAAAGAATAGAATATGTATTTCTAGCTAGAAACGCTATATATATATTTTTAAAAATGCTTTACAAAATCACTAAGGTCTTTTCTATTAAACACAAACTATGGTCTGCAATATAATTTCCCCAGCTACCCATTGGCTGTGCTGGTACAGAATCATGGGATATGTAGTTTAATCTCTGGATGGAACTAAACTTGGGTGAATATGTAGTGCTTTAAAATCACCAATTTGTATGATTATTTTTGTGATGCTTTTGCTATTCCTGTACAAATCATTTCAGGAAAAAAATTAAAAAGGAAAAGGAAAAACAATAACAAGCATTTATAACCCAGGAGATTTAGGATAAACTCTGTATTTCTTACTGAGGAAAAGACAGAACACTTTCCCCAACAATTTCACATTCACTTGTTTCTGGCAATTTATATTAACTAGAAAATATATGTGGACATTTAACCTGTCAGTTCTTATTTCAGTCACTTTTAACTCAGTAACCCAGGCATCAGCTGTTTTCTAGCTGCACGGTCCCTCTCCCAGAGAAGCAAACCCATTTCGGAAAGCACATTTTTCCTGATCATTGAAATAAAATTGAGGGTGACTCATGCAAAGCTACTTTTTAGGCCATCCCTACCTTTCTTTTTTGTATTTTGCAAACTTTGCACATGAAATAACTTATGCACAAAACTTTTTGGTATGATTTTGGCATGATGATTTTTGGAAGACTTGCTCCTTCCCAACAGCTAATGTGTGTGTGTGTGTGTGTGTGTATAATCGTGTCCTATTCTCGGAGACTACCTAGACCAGTCCCTGCAGCTTTCTTGGCATGGTTTTTCAGAAGTGGTTTACCATTGCCTCCTTCGTAGGGCTGAGAGAAAGTGACTGGCCCAAGGCCACCCAGCTGGCTTTGTGCCTAGGCAGGGCTAGAACTCAGGGTCTCCAGGTTTCTGGTCTGATGCCTTAACCACTACACCAAAATGGCTCTCATTACTGAAAGACAATTCATATTGGAATGGATCTTTCAAATGACTATAGATTCCATTAACTTTACTTCCACGTTTCTTGGAAGTAAAGTTAATCCTCCTATTCACCATGGTCCACCTGGGTGGAATCTGGAATTTGAAGAGAAATCTTCCTGTTGCAAAAAGCAAAGATTGCTGAACAGCACCAGAAGAAAGAATGTGTCCTTAAATGGCTGTATTAGCTACAGGAATGAGCAATGGCTATAGTCAGTCTGAAGCTCCTAATCAATGGAGGTCTCTTTGGAGGCATTTTGAAAACCGTGTTCTTTAAATCC